GAGGAGTAATGGGGTGATGATAATGTTCTTTGATCAAGTACACAATCAGAAAAAATCAGTGGAAAGAGTGGTGCCTTGTAAAGAAACTGCTGAGTGTTTGCTGGACTTTGCAACAAAAGAAGCAGTACGAAATGGAGAGATAAAACCAAAAGTCTGGACAACCAGATGCAGAGTCTCAGTCTTTGGAAAAACGCTGGCAATTCTGCAGCCTCCCCGCTTCTCCAGTAGATATCTAATCTTACTTTTGTGAGGAGAAAAAATTAAGAGCATAGGAATTAGTGCTGATATTCCTAATGGAACACTGATGTGTGGGGTATTACCAGATTGGCTTAAAGTAAGGGAAATGTTATATTTTGTCTGATATGAAATGGTATGAAGATAATCCATATTTCTCTGGGTTCTAGGCACAAGGCTAAAGCAGAAGATAGGGCTAAGAATTTGTCTGTTTAAAGCTGACTAGACTAAACTCTCAGCAGTGATCAAAATAAACCTAGGAAACAGTAAAAAAAGATTTACCATTGACCAATGAAAGGAGATACATGATGATACTCAAAGCAATCATTGGAAAGTGGTAACAAAGCGAGGTGGTGCTGGACTCTTCAATGAAACTATAGGAATGAAACAGACTTTTAAACTTTGTGAAGCTCTCTGCAAACAGAAATAATTCTGGGGAAAAACCTCATATATGCATTGTGGAATGAAGTAGGCTACATATATTGTACATTTACTGTAGAGTTGCCACACCAATATTGTTTTAGTTGCTCTGTCAATCTTTACCATCTCTCCATTTATGGCTCTTTATAACCAATTCTATGTAAAATCTGCCTGTTTTAGGGTACACATATGGCTTTCCTGGATACCTTTGATCATCTGTGGAGTGTGTAGCTCATTTCCACTGTGAAATCTCTGATGTCTTCTTCCCAGATGCACTCTGAGTGAAAGGCCAAATCCTTAGGAAGGTTTTCTGCAGTGTTCCAGCTCCTGCAGACAGACGGAAGTGGCTGTCCGTGGAAGTGACAGTGGCACAGGCTAAGCATATCCCGTTGGCAGGACATGGTAGGAACACACAGGCACATAGGTGATGGCTGTGTGAAGAAAAGGGGAGAAGTACAGGAACTCTGTGCTGTCTGTGACACCTCTCTGTACAAGGGGAAATAAAGGTTTTGGTAAGATATGCAGTGATCTGGTGGGAAGACTCTATAATTAGTGTTTAAAAAGAAGTGAAAATTAAAAAGAGATGAAAAAGCCTGACAATCAGATGATTAGTTAACCTACCTTAGGAGAAATATTCCTTTATATTTATAATTAAATGCTGTTTTCACTGAGTAATGGCTTTTAAATTTGACCCAATTATTTTAAGTACAAAAAAGGATAGTGTGCAATTTAAATGCACATTTTTTGGGGTGGTAATTAGAAACGCTCCCACCTTAAATGAACTTGCTGCAAGGTCCTAGAAACTGCAGCTCTATTGCCAGTGGCAGTGAATTGATTTCTCTGGTTTGCCTTCCTTGCTGAAAATGTTCCACAAATGTTCCACAAACTTTTAAAACAGCATTCACATACTAAGTTTTTTTCTATGAACAAATGCTTTGTAGCATATTTTGTAGGCAGGAACAGGGAAGGGTTGAAGGTGCACATGGCTGAGGGTGAATGCAGCCAGATCTCAGCCTGCTCTGCAATCAGACACTGCTGGGGGGACATACCTGACCTTGCACCCTTCATGTGAGGGTCAACTAAATTCAACATGCCCCAAGCAAGATTTGAATTTGTTCTCTGACACCTGCAGAGAATGTTTGGACTGACCCTGCTTTTTTTCGTCTCTTGGGATAAAAATCCAAAAAATTGCCAGGCATAAAATTCTCCAGAGAAACTCCATATAAAGACCCAGAGGGGTGGAGGGCAGATGTGGTAGGACACAATGTAAGTGAAACCATGACATAATGGGATGAAGGCAACTTAGAGAAAGAGGATGTGTATGGTAGTCCATCTGAATGTGAGTGTTTTTGCTGATATACAGGGCAAGGAAGAAGAACTGTAAAAATACAAGTTTATACCAAGAAGACCAGTTCCTCACTGAATCTGTTATTGTACTCTTTTGCCATTAAATGACTCACAGCTAATGCATCTAATTTAAGAGGAAAAAAAAAAGGAAAAAAAAAAGAAATCTCACCAATGAAGAGATTTTTGAGGTGGGTTTCACTCCCTGCTCATGATGGAGGGCTGCAGCTTTGGGTGCCAGCTGCTGTGCTGCTCATGTCAAGTTCCCAGAGTAACCCATGGGGAGAAATCTTAGCAGGGGATTGACTGACCTGTTTCTAGTCTTGTGAGGCAGGACAGAGTGAGGACAGGTCTCAGACTGAACTCAGGGTTGCTTCTAAGAGCAGTGTCACTGTACCCAGTAGATATTTCAGAGCCTGATTTGAATGCTCACATAGAGGTGTCTGGTGTCACTTGAGATGCTATAAAACCTCTGAAATGTCCACTTGGCCAAGCAGAGGTTACAGTCCCTGTTGGAGACACCTTGCCCTCCTGGAATAGCAGCCAAGATACTCTGCTGTATCACCAATGGCTCCGAGCTTGGGAGATATAAGTCCTTTCCAATACCTGAAGGGAATACAGGAAAGCTGAGGAGTAGTGACTTTTTAAAAGGGAATGTAGTGACAGGACAAGGAGTGATGACTTTAAAGTGAAACAAGGCAGGTTTAGATTAGACATCACAAAGAAATTCTTTACTGTGAGGGTAGTGGGGCACTGGCACATGTTGCCCAGAGTTGTGGGTGCCCTATCCCTGGAAGTGCTCAAGGCTGTGTTGGACAGGGCTCTGAGCAACCCAGTCTGGTGGAAGGTGTCCCTGCCCATGCCAGGGAGTTGGAACTAGATGATTGTAAAGTCCCTTCTAACTCAGACCATTCTGTGACTCTACAATACTCAGCTGACCTCTTAAATCTTGCACATTTGACTTTGATGGAACAGACTCTGACATGGGTTGCTGATAAGAAGAGATAAAGTAGAGAAGTGCTGTGTACCAGTGAAGTTTTCTATGTACTGTAGAAATTATCAACACTGTAGTGAGGACTTACAGCTTTGTAAGTGTAAGCACTATAGTGAGCTACTCAGCTTTGCAGCTGAAGAAAAAAAATGATGGACAAAGCAGTGGCCTCTGTGCCTAAGACCATGCCTTAGCTCTTCCTTTCCTGGTAAAATGTGCTACATTATTGCTGATGGGCTTTAGATGGCTCTCTGTGGCCCATGGGCTCAGGACAAAAGGGGGCTTCCATGTAAGAGAGGTCCTACAGGGAAGGGCATTTCTGAAGGGTGGCTGTCACTCCTCTGGAAAGGACCGAGCCCAAAGAGCTGGTGCTCTGTAGGGGATGAAATAAGGCACTCTGAGAGTCTGGAAACGTTTGGGGTTTTTAAATTCCCTTTGGGATGTTTTAAGTTTGTTTGCACAGAAGAGTTCACCTGGGAGCAGAGGCACAGGACTGGGACTCGGGCAGTAGAGCAGAGGCCATGGCACTCTGAGGTCTGCAAGGATCAGCCTGTCACTGGTTTACTTTGCTCTGCAAGCCAAAAAAATCGAGAACATCGAGTTCCGAGGCCTGAGGCACCCAAGCCATTTGCATCAAAATGAGCTGACAGTTCCTCTTGAAATGAGAGGGTATGAACTAGTCTGCAGTGTCCAGTCCAGCCCAGGTATTTGGATTGTGTCCTTGATCCTGACAGCTGAAACACGGGGCTGTTGGTCTCCAAACATTTACATTTTTCAGATTATGTCCTTGGTCTAAAATTTTATTCTTATCCCAAGTTAGTCCGAATTGCAAGTGGCTGATCTCCTGCATGAGTTTCAAAGGCATGACAGAGAGGGATAATTTGATGCAAACCCAACATATTTAAGTCCTTCAATCAGAGCCTGTGTAGTGTGATTGCACAGTGAATTAATATCAAAATTACACAAATACTTTTGTATTTATGTCTGGGTAGTTTTTGATTATTAATTATTTAAAGTTGATAGATACAGAAAAAAGATAGATAGATAGATAGATAGATAGATAGATAGATAGATAGATGATAGACTACAAATATAGAGAAAAGTTAGATATAGAAGAATACGTTTTTTAGTTTTACTAAGTTCTTCATGTATACAATACAAAAATCAAAGGACAAAATTTAAGGACAAAATTGCTCTTTTCCTTTGCTATGAGATTTCCCTGAAAAAACTGTTTCCATTTAAAAAAAACCAAACAAACCCAAACCAATAATTTAAAATCTGTAGTAATCCTAATTCTGAAGCATATCTTCAGTCAAGCCAACTCCCTGTTCAAATCAAGGTTTTTATTATATTTAGTATTATGCAGACATTTTCATTTGAAGCCTTGCCCACCAGAAGAGCTTGGGTTCACAAGTCTCCTTGCAGTGCTTGGCATGAGGAGCTGCCCCTGTTGCAATGTGCTGGCTGGCTCTCGGAGAAGGCTCTGGTGTCACTTCTGAGAGCACAGGCTTTGACTCATGTAAAAGGTGATTTGGGGGATCCAAAAAAGCATGATCTGAAGTAATTTAATCTAATTTTAGTCACCTTTATGTATTTTCACTGAATGAATTTTTAGCATCCTTGTGTTTGCAAGAGACAGCTGTTTTCTTCAGTCAGCCACACCTTCACGTTGTTATCGCCAGATTGGACTCTTGGATCTCTGGACATCTGTGCCTGGGTTCTTTGCTGCACTTCAAAAGGCACCAGAAGTTCCTGTCCATGGTGGACAACTGAACCTTTTTTCGAAAGGCAATGCCTCCCACTTGCCTTAGGCATCTCTTTCAGTGTGGACTGGGGGAAGGCTGCCTCTCCCCATGGCCTGTGTATCTTGATGCCTACCCTAGAAGAGACTTCCTCATGGTGATTCAAGTCAGATGATTTAACTCTGCTTTATCTGTTATTCCATTTATCTTCCTAGTGGAGGTAGTTTGAGCTCACAAGTCCTTCAGACCACACAAATCAAGCCAGAAAATAAGTTCAGAATAGCAATATTTAATATTTACAAATATCAGTGAGGCCAGTGGTCACACAATTATATGCAGGACAGAGGGTGTTTCCAGGAGTACACAGACATCCCCAGGGCAGGACAGCCTGGAACAAGCAGATGGCAGCAGCACAGGGCACTTATTTTTTTGTGCTGGAGGTGTGCCAGCGGCCTATATCTTCCTCTCCTGGTGCTAGCACAGCCAAAGTTGGCTTTATCCCAGAGGTGAGAGTCAGGGAGTCAAAACTAAGGGATGAGGAAGGGTGGGTATTAAGGGACCATGAAGAGTTCACAGAGGCCCTGTGCTGATGAAGGAGCCTCTCTCCAGCTGACTACCTGCAAATATCCTTTCTTCCCACTGCCTCTTTAACTCTTTTCCTGGTTTGCTGTCTGCTATGGTTGCACTGTCCATGCTTCACTGCTGGCAAAGAACATGAGCTTTTTGAGCCACCTGGCAGGTTTGGATGCACCTAGTGATGGATTGCAAACTTCAACAAGTCTTATGCTTTCTTCTTTACAGAAGTTGCATTTAAATTTTACAGGTTAATTTTTCTCCTTCTGGGGGTGAAACTATGCTCCAAGGTGCATATGCTCCTCAAATAGGCAATTGGCCTTTTCATCTCCATTTTATATAAAGGAGAATGTGAAACATTTTGCATGTTGCATTAAAGGACAGCACAAGCAGCCACATATGTCTGCAATAAGTGTATTTAAAGAACTTGCTCCCATGCTACAGTGCATAAATACAAACAACTTTGAGAAAACAGAAATCAGGAAAAATAGGCTCCAAGTGCTTTAAATATATTCAGGTTTTCATAGCTGCCTATATGCATTTGGGTTGGGTAAAGATTATTTCATGGTTTGGCTGACAGTTCATGTCCAAGAATTAACCTTTGAGGAAGTGTTGTATCGTGAAAGGAAGTCACTGGAATGATGAGTTTCCTGAAACTTCCCAGTCATGGACATTAGCTCAAGATCAAGAGTTTGCTCTTCAGTGATGATAGGGAATTATGCAGTTCTTGATTGCTATTGCTGTTGCTAAAAAACTAAAGCTGATGCAATTTACTGCCTTCAGATTATATCTTCTATTTATTACTAAGCTGCAAATAATTACTACATATATCTTTGTTTATCTTTGGTGAGTTAATTCCTTGATCCATGTGCTCTATTCTAGGGCAGCCATACAGACCTGTGTGGAAGTTAGTGAAATTCATAGGCAGTTTCATGAAGGCAAAATTGGTGGTGAGGTTCTTCACCCTTTTGTTAAACCAGACATTTCTAAAGTCTTGTTGCAAACCCTACTGTGGTGACCCTAATTTTCCTCTAAGGCTGCCACAATTCTCAGATGCTCCTGAAGAACTGATTTAGAAGTGCCCTGAGTTTTGGCAAGGGGATCTGGCTCCAGGATGGCAGAAAGAGGCTGAAACCCATGTTCTTCAGTTTCCTCTGCAGTGTCTCAAACACTGCTCAATACACTCTCTGCTCATCCTCATGCAAATCTCTGAGTGCCCCATTCAAAAATTAATAGGAACAGACAGGTGAGCTCATGGTGAGATTTGGGGAGCACGGGACATTATTTACATCAGCCAGAGAGCGCCTGCTTCATGCAGCTGATAAATTAACAACAGCTCCATTTCCCACACACATGAGAGGGCAAGTGGTGATCTTTTATCTTTTGTCTTGTGCTTTATACACAAGTACAGCAGTAAGGGCCAGACAGATTAATGTTTTTGCCAGTTCCTGAGGTTTAGTAGGTATGTTTAGAGAGATGAAAATGTGGAGTCTCAGACTGAAATGATCTAGCCCTTTTCCACCCTGACTTCTTTATAAAAAATAATTTTGCCTGTAAAACACCTGAACATTGTTTTTTTTTGTCGTCCCCCCATAAATAAAACAGCACAGTGCACTATCCTTATTGTATGTGAATCAGCATTTTGGGGCTTGTCTTGGCATTCCTTGTAGGTCATTCACATTCCAGAAATATTTGTCTGAAAGGCAATGAATGAAAGATAATTAATTAATATTTCAGGGGGTATCTGACTTACTGCAAACATCTTGTACAATGAAAAGAAACAATTAAAAGGAAGCAATAGTGATAAATGAAATTTGGAAGATGTATTCTTCCATTCTGTAAAATAACAACATTACTGCGTTTGACCAATTTAAAACATCTCTACTTTTTGTCTCTCACGTATGCTAGGGAGGGTCATTACACTTTATCAAGAGGGCATCTTAAATAGCAACAGAACCATGCAATGAGTATGTCAATATGTCATACTGCTGTTTAGAAAAATCTGAGGACCAGGTTATCCCTGACTATGATGTGACAGACAGAAAGAGCCTGTGCAAATGCATCTGTACTGCCCCGAGGAGCTCGTCCAGGGACTGTGCAGGTCTCTCAGCTCATGTACCATTACCAGAGCCTGAAAAATAAAACTGGAAAGAACATAAAGCACCCTTTTACTGCATACCAACCTTTCTTCTCCTCATACATGTGCCACATATGAAGCCAGTGAGTCCATTGATGACTTGAATGAAACAAAGAATAGTTTCAATCACACCGATGACCAGGAGAATAGAGAAAAGGACGATATTCCAAAGGATGATGTTTTCAGGTTGTTTGCAAATAGTCCATGTTGTCTGGTTAAACAAATAATTCTCTCTGTGATAGAGGAAAGTATTAGGTATTAGAAAGTAAAAACTTGAGAATGCTTTCTTTGTTTTCTGGCATTTCATTTTCTGAACTTGAATGTGCAAAGTGAGTCTCAGATGGTGCTATAATTGGTCAAAGCTGGTGATCCTCCCCAGAATTACCTTTGCAAAGATGCAATTGATAATTAGGGAAGAGAGCCGCATCTGTACTTTGCTGCATGCACAAGAATCTCCTCTTTGTTGTATGGTAAAATTATGTTAATAACTAAAGAGAAAGGTCCATAATGGTTTTAAAATGTGTCTCCACATTCTCCATTCCTGCTGTGGTATCTCAACCCAGTCCATTCCTTATCTCTAGCTCTGATTTGAAGAAAATAACCATCCAGGTTGACTTTAAAGATTCAGAGATTTTTGCTTTGCCTTTCAGAAGTAGGTATAGCAGGCTGAATTCTTGATAATTTAACAGATTAATGCGTAAGTAAGCGAACATTTCCTTTTGACTCCAGTGGGAGTCACAGCTCATAGGATTTTGAAAGCATGGTGCAAATGGCCCAAGGGGCTTGTGGCAAGCACAGCAGATGAAACTCAGGCAATTTGCCCAAGGATGATTCTTTGGTCAAAGAAATGACCAGCTGGAACATGCTACTCAGAGAAGTGTGAGTTTAGGTGTAGACAGGGTGAACCATCAGTTCATTTTGTAAAAATCCAAGTTCACTTTAAAAAGATACAGGATGGATCAGGGAAAGCAAAATTGGAGGAGTCTGTAAGCCATACTCACTCCAGAGTGTCATTCCTGAAAGGGTAGAGGTATTCTCCATCACCTGTGTCACACAGAGGACCCCCAATCAGCCCCAGCAAAGAGATGACCACACAATATGCTCCTCCTGCGAATCCCATCACAGACAGGATCACTGACAGCAGCATCTGAAAGGGAAAAGAACTTCAACATAGTGTGCACAGAGGTTTGAGTAGCATGGAGAACTCACAGTGAATGAGAAAGAATTCTCTTTCTTGTTTCTTACTTTATGCTGAAAATACTACTGCTGCCTAATTTGTGGGAATAAAAAATAGTTGACTTTTTCTGACTGTTGTAGCTGTCCTAGATGTTAAAGAACTTATTGAGTTTTACCCTTAAGCTGTCAATTATGAAAAATCTGGTGAGTTTTCTTTCAAAAGCCAGTATGAGGCCAGTCCTGGATTGATCTGTTCTGTAATCATGTGCCTTGGCATTTCCAACTCTTTACCTTTCTTGGCCCTCACACCAACAGAAAAAAGCAAGCAACTACTTAACCACGTATGAAAGCAACAAAATATACATTAATTGTTTTTGCTAATTGATGGAATGTAAAAAAGCCTTTCTTTTTGCTGCTTTCCTTCATTTTGCAACACTATGACACGTGATTACCACTTCTCATGTTGAGAAATCTAATTGTGCTGCATGTGGCAACAAACCAACAGTGACTTCAAATTGTATGTAATGCACTCAGGTATTACATTGGCCACTCCCACAGAAATGTTACCTTCACTCCATTCTGGGGTAGTTTTCAGGTAATGAATGGGATGTATCCAGTTGCTGTTTCTCTATAAAAAACAAAAATCCCAGGAGGGTGCTACTGGTGGTGCCGCTGGGACAGGCTTATCAATAGTCTTGTTAAGAATCACTGTGCTTGTTCACAACTCTGCCAAATGGGGGAAGAAATTCTGGAGCAGACTGATAGAGCCAGGGGAAGACCTGGAGCAGGGAGAAGGCAGCAGGCCTGCCTTAAAGTCAGGGTAATGGCATGACCAAGGAAGCACATATAAAATACTCTCATCCATGACTCAGGTTTGAAGCCAAGTATCTCAAGTCTCAAAATTCCCCGTTGCCAGCAAATACCAGGTGAAATCCACCACCCCACAATGCAGGTAGAAACCTTCTCCTAGTCCTAGTTGTTCCACAGACCACTACACAGTCAAATGGAAATAGCCACCATCCATGTTGGAGTTTTTTGACAAAGCCTTGAAAAGGCTTCACTGTCTGAACACATTCAAGCTGGTGAATGCAGTTTCCAGCTTGCCAGCCAGCTGCTTTCTGTAGAACCTTGCACGATGCTGGTGTGTGAATTGGCTAATTTTGTGTATTGTTTTGCCTCTAAAGCAATCCTTGAGTTAAAAGTTGCTGGGATTTCTCATGGGATTTATTTAATCTTAACTGATTAACAACACAGTCTTTTCTTGCAAAGCTGGATACTCTTTCCTTAATCTTAATCTGCATGTTGGCTGAATTGCTTCTTAGCAGAGCTCCACTCTCAGCAAAATGTAGGTAATTTAGTCTGTTGTCCTGGACCTAAACAGTGTCTGGATTGTAGCTGATGCACTGTCTCTCACAATAAGATCACCAATCATGCCTTGTGGTGAAGGTGAGTGACTGATACTCTCTTTGAAACTCCTACCTATTCTGAATCACTTCTCCCTACTTGTTTTCTCATTTACATCAACTGTGCATTCTGCTTCTTGGTTGAAGGATCTTAATTATGTTAACAATTCATTTTAGTACAGCATAGCAGTACAGGGCATCCCACAGATAATTATGGAGAAAAAGTCAAATGGTCTTTTGGTATTACTATGTTTTATGATAGCAGTTACTACTAGTAGTGCTTGTCAGTGCTATCTGTGATGACTCTGTTCTGTCACATGATTGTCTCATTTGGAATCTGTTGACTGCATGATAACCTCATCCCAACTATTTCCCTTACTGTGTACAAGATCATCTAGACAGAGACTTTACTTGTAACTGAAAGAGGAGTCTGAAGTTGCTGCAGCTGTTAGATTGGCTCTCCTCAGCATTTTCTAGACAAGCAGGGGCATTTCCCCATTTTATCTACTGATCTGGAGACTTTTCTGGAGGCTTGCCTCATAACCTGTGAAAATCCAAGAATTTTATTAACCATTTCATCATCTCAAACTTTCAACATTTTCCCTAGTTGTACTTCTCATTGAAATATTTCATTTCCTCATTTGTGTCCTTTATTGCAACAGGAGGCCTGTGCTGGGACACTTGAGTGTGTTGAAATTTGTTTCCTATTATTTTGACCTGTTCTGTACTCCTGAAAAAGTTTTGATGACCATTTTTGCTGATTTTCCCTCCTTTATTCAATCGTTTAATGGAATTGTCCCTAGTGAGCTGATGAAGACTCTTAGAATTCATTCTTCAAATGTTTGTATCAGCTGCTTTGATGAAGTTACCAAGTTCTTCCTGTCCCAGCTTGTGCTGCTCTTTAATACCCTGCTCCATACACATTTCTTTCTTCTCTGTTTCTTTGTCTGGAAGTGTTTTTTGGTGTGGTTTTTGTTTGTTTGTTTGTTTGTTTGTTTGTTTTGTTTGTTTGTTTTTATGAAAATGTTATTCTGTCTAATTATCTGGATATCTTTGCTTAAGTTTGTCAAGCTGCTATGGCTATTCTTGTTCTACTAGTAACTCTTAAGGAAGACTTAGAAATACTGGAGTATATGTTTGCTGATGCAATGAGAGAAGCTGTATTTTGGGTGGGTCTTTTTCCTCATCACGTCAGTGCAGTGGATGATTTCAGATGTGTACGTGCTAAGCTGCAAGACACTGAAGCTTTCTAAATCTATTACTTTCCAAATTCATTACTCCCTAACGCAAGGACAAGAAGCTATTGATGTACGTTTGTAAGTAATAATTTAAAGTTGATTAATGAAAAAACTTAATGCAGCATGTAATCACTGTGAACTGGAAAACACACTGAAGTGAATAAAAAGTATGAGAAACATGCTATTTTTATTACTGTGAAGATACTTTGGCAGTGTGTAAAGGCTTTGATGAAGTCTGAAACTATTAAACCAGGAATTGCGCAAAATAAAATAGAACAGAGTTCCTGCCCTGAGCAAAATGTTATGTTTTGATTGAACAATAATTCTGATCAGTAATAATTCTTTAACCTTTTTTCCCCGTTTTTTACTATGACAAGCAATTCTGCAATTTGGAATATTCAAGTGTAATTTATCATTTTATACCTAAGATCTCCAAAGCAGAAAGGTGCCCAAATTTGCCTTTGGATTAGAAAGGCTCCTGAGTAGTTCCATGAGGGCTGTTTCTCTGCCAGTAGGTGAGAAACCCTTAGCAGGTCCATCCAGACCTACCTCCCAAGGAGCTCTGGCACTTTGAGAGGTTGCTGATATTGTGGATTTTTAAAGCAATCCCAGGAGGCCTCTGCTCTCCAGGGCCTCACACCATACCTACCCTGCCTGCATATACAGCCCTTATAGTCAGGACATCTGAGCACCCCTGCTCTGGATGTCTGTGCATTTTCTTCCACTGTCCACAAAGCACATTTTGCCTGAAGTTTTTTTCCCTTGAAGAAACAGACCATCAGCCTTCAGATCTCCCTGCAACACTGACCTCTTTCTCAATGTTTGGAAATCACTCTTCCCCAGGAGCTGTGCAGGGTAAACTTGTTTTTAGTGTTGTTCACAGCCACTCACTCTTCGCTCATGTCCTCATCTCATCCCTTCTTTGCCACAGACTGTTTAAAACATAGAGAATAGAGCTTCACCCTTTCTACCTCACAGAGGTGTATGACTCCAGAGGGGTGTGTGCCCAAAAAGACAGCATTTTCATAGATAGACTGTCCTCACCGAGCCTGTTGTCCAGTTTGGTTTGGGTAGCTTCATCACTTGGCCATCAGCCACTCTGTGATATGGTTTAGTGGGCATGGTGGTATTCATTTGAAGGTTGGACTTGATGAACTTGGAGTTTTTTTCCAGCCTTAATGATTCTGTGATTTTTCTGATTCTACAAAATATCACAGTGCATGATCAAATTACTTTCTTAATATCTATTTTATTCCTTCATAACAGCAAAAAAAGAAGAGGAGAACAGCTTGTAGGTAACCAAGCTGCCAGTGATGGGCAGGTGCAGACAGGGTATCTGGCATTGATGTACTGCTGCCAGGAGAAATTACTTTCTTCATATCTATTTTATTCCTCCATAACAGCAAAAAAAGAAGAGGAGAACAGCTTGTAGGTAACCAATCAGTGATGGGAAGGTGCAGACGGGGTATCTGGCATTGATGTACTGCTGCTAGGAATGGCTCAGACAGTGAAAGAGGAGGGGGAGAATGGAGGATCGTGGTGGGTCTGTGGATGTGGGCTGCTGGATGACACTGTGCTACCACCTGTGTTCTTGGGCTGGGGAGTGAAGCCAGCCAGCCTGGGGAAGTTTGACTCTTGGCTCTGTAATATTTAGGGCTGGGATGAATGATGGAGGAGGGGCACCTGAGATGCTGTGTGAACTCAGCCCAGTTCAGCTGGATTTCCCCTTGTGACTTACCAGATTCAGTGAGCATAAGAACCACTACAGTGGCTTGTATTTCATCACTGCTTTCTACATCACTCAAAGTCAAGCAAAGCAGCTGGCTCAGGCACTTTTCAGGGTGCCTAGGATCTCACCCCAGCTCTGCAAGTGGCCTGCTTGGCCATTGCCAGCATCCTGTCTGTGCATGTGACATTTGGTAAAATCAATGTAATGGCATGTCCCTTGGGATGTGCTTGCTAATGTGTGACATTCTAATAAAGAATGCTGTTTTGGTATTATGAATCATTAATTAATTTAAGTAAAATGTTTTAAAGAGGCACAGGTTTTCTCATGGATCAGACTAAATATTAATTGAAGAGTACAGAAGAGACATGCTTTATTGCATGGAATCTCTCATTCCAGGCTGCTTCTGGGAAGGATGCAGACTCAAAAAAAATTTTTAAGTCAGTTTATTCTTGCCAATAATGATAGCAACACAGAAGTCTGTGCCCAGGGCTTGAGGATGAATGGAGATGCCTTTATAATATGTTGCTTTATAATATTCTTAATTATCAAGCAAAACATCTCTCTGGCCTTTCTTTAGATGTCAGAGAGCCTAAATTGCATTTTCACATTTCACATGCATAATATTTGGGCATGTGTGAGCTACTGGTCAGAACTGCAGGAAGCAGTGCTGGCTCCTCAGTGCCAGATGCAGCATCTCACGCTTTCGGCATGGACGTGCAAATGGGGGATGTTTGTATCCCTACAGAGAAAAGCAGGGATGAACCTGTGGAAAAGCAGATTGCCATGGAAGGGTATAGAGGAAACAGGACTCTGTGGAAGCAGGAGGAACAGGCAACTGTCTCAGTCTTTATGATTGCCTTGAGCAGGGGGAGCTGGAGCCACGTTTTACATTATGGAATGTAGTCCCCTTTGCCCTCAGCGTTGTGCCTGAGGGCTCCAGCACTGGCCCTGGCTGATTTCCCTCGTATCAGCAGCTGCATCATAACGTTCTTGTTGGCTAACTGAGCTCTCAGCCCCAGCCCAGGGACGCTGCAGATCAAGCTCCTCTTCTCCGTTTCCCTGACATGGCTGCTGACATTGGTGTGATGGTTTGTCACTGCACATTTCCACCTGCTGAGCAGCCATTTAAAGAGCTATTGCACAAACTCTGCAGTGCCATTTCAACACACAAATATCCACTTACCCCACATCTGTTAGCGCAACATCCTGCTCCACCTGCTCCCAGCATCATGAATGCCGGCAAAATAACCTGTAAGAAAAGCACAGGCTGAATTTGTGTGCAGAACTTCTGCTGGGGTGGTTTTTTAAATTCTAAGAGCTTGGGCATCATGTTCCTCAAATGTAAGTCACCTTCTGTCTCTTCTTTGGGAGTTACACCTGCTTGGATGTTGGTGCTGCTGAAGAGTTACCCAGAAATAAGTGTGGGATTACAGCTAGAACTGTCTGGAAAATTGCTGCTACATCAATTCTGATTGCTGAAGCTATATGGCTTTTTTTCAGGGTATAAAAAGATTCAGCACAGTATTGTTGGGGGTTTTTGTTTGGAAAAAAATGTGTCAGTTTTGAGAAAACTGAATTTCTGCCAAGAAAAGATACATAGGTGGACTAAGAATTATGGTCACTGTAAACCTCCTGAGCATTCTGCTCTGGATTATAATTAGGAAATCAGCCTTGAACTTCCTGAAACAGATATGACTTTGGTTTGGGGAGGGGGCTGTGGTTTGTGCTAAATTTCTGGAAAACCTACAAGATGGACTTCAGTCAATGGGAAACTTCCAGCTCACATCAGCTTTCACCATGGTAATTATCAGATGGAGCTGGACCAATACAATGCAGTCAGTAACTTGAGATATAATGCTGCCTTACAGACACTCTGTTAGGAGTTGGGAAAAGTTGCCTTTATTTTGGTAGCCAGAGGGCAAGAAAGCTTGCGTGGGTCTGGCTGTGCAACCAGCACACTCCCGCTGCCTTGGCTCTGCACACCACAGCTGGTTAAAGCATCTCAAAGAGCAGCACATGTAAAGGTGTATTTTAAAAAGTAGGAAATGGTTACCATAAAGTTAATGAAAGAAGGAGAACCCTAATCAATCAGTCAATAAATCAGTCAATAAAACAAACAAATATAAAAGGCAAAAACTGTAAAAATGGCCTGGCTAGGTGCTGGCAAGATTTTTTCTCATGTAGGGCAGGAAGAGCAGAATATCCATGATGAACAGAGCCCACGGAATTTATGTGCGTAGTGTGAATATCTCTGTTGAACAGCGTGGGACATTGTTATGAAACTTGCTTAGATTTGTAGGCTCCTAAATATTTTCCAAAGGATTTATTCTCTGTTGCCTTTTATGCACACCCTAGAGGCAACCTACAGCACCTACAGTGGTGGCTGGACCACATCTGGAAGCCTGCAGAAGTAGAGCACTGAGGTTAAAAAGGTGTTCCTCTTCCTGCAAAGAAGTCTGCTCTTAAATAATCACAAATGGTGTCCAAGGCAGTCTCAGCCACAGTGTTCTATTGTCAGGCACTCAGAAGGAGAGCTAATACCTCTACCCATCAAACCAACACTCCTTTTCCTCCAGGGCTGTCATTTTTCTTTCAAGGTTTCCCATCTAAGTGGCAAACACATTTGTATCATCTATTAGCCTGGCTCAGGATGAAGGGTTTTCTTGGCAGCTCTCTTTTTATACAGTGCCTGATTATAAACACCTGCCTTTTGACATGGGAATGAGAATTTGCTGGGTTTGGCTGTTGTCAGTAAAACAAGAGCGGTGTGTGAGCCATGACTCAGTCAGGCATTTCCTTCTGTTGCACACAGGCTTTCTATGAGGAAAGGCATTACTGTGACATACAGTGCCAGTCTTACTCTCTTTACATCCTAAATATTTGAAATAAGGAAATTGAGATGTTTTCATGTCATATAATTTCCATTAGAAATTCAGCAGAGGAGGAAAGGGTAGAGCTGGCTACTCAGCCAAAGGGTGTGCTGACGATCTTGTATCAGTCTACAGATGAAGTTCTCAGGTAAAGAGAGGTTTACTGGCTCACAGAGCTAAGCCAGGCTGTTCTGAAGTTTCTCCCATGGTGGAGGCTGTGTCCTAGTTGTGGGGAGATTCTCTAAGATCAGGCAACCTGTTGGCATGACTTGCCTCAGTTTCCTTTGGGAGGAGTCCAGGTGCATGGGGGAATGTATTGCAGCTTCATCTTTCCTCACTGTAGTGTCAGGATATAGACCAGACTCCAGTCATGGGACATCCTGTCTCTTGTTTTAACTCCTTAGGACATTGAAAAGCCAATCTTCATTTTCCCATGCTTCCAGCACCTGGAAGATGGAGCTGATGATAAAGCTTTCTTTCCCCTTACCTGTGGGCATTTCTCATGCTGTTTTCTGGAAAATGTGTACACTCAGCAGCATTGTTTGTGGATCAATAATTACTCCTAATGCTGTGTTTTGAAGGTCAATGCAAATTTTTCCTCTCCTCTGACTAGCTGTTCTCATTTTTGATGTATGTAGTGCTGGCCACAGGCAAGTCTGTGTGGAAGCCTTAAAAGAAGGCACGTTTTCAAGGAGCTGATGACGCTCTCATGTCTAATATCCTTCCTTTCCTTTCATTGAACGCCAATGACTCCTGGGCTTGCAGTGATACGAATTTTCCACAAGGTCTCTCATGTAGTTGCACTTCTTCCTTCCGCAAACTCACGCTTATGTTCAAGCTCAGCATGAGTAATAGGCTCAAGTGGTAGCCACAAGAAGAAGCAGACAAGCTGCTGGTGGAGAACAGTTTATTGAATGACCTTATGCTTCTGCTTTGGGAAATATGAGCATGAACCAGATCCACTGCAGGCTTTCCATAGACTTAAGCAGCAGCTGCATCATAGGCTGACTGTGCATGAAATTTACTTTTTTCTAAGTTAATTATTCTTAAAGATGCATTCATTTCTTGGCCAGCTCTGTGCCAGTTTGCCATCTGCCCAGTAATGGTCATATGTATGTTACTTGCTCATATTTTTTTTACTGCATTTGGGTAGATAATTGAAAGAGCACAAAGGGAGCAGGCTTTCTGCTGAACTGGAAAGATAAGTATTATCCAACATGTTCCCTTCTAGACATGGATACTCACATAAAAGTGATCTTTCCTGAGGCCTAGAATGGAGAACAAGTTATAGAAGAGCACATTCAAACCACATCCAACCCAAAAGAAGGTGGGTGGGAGTGTGGGAACAGGAGGCATTCCGCTTATTAAGCCATTTACAGCTCCACATTTGTCAAGTGTTAGCTAGGTCTCAAACTAACACCTGCTGAAATAGGTTTCAGCTTTCTCCATAACGTTTTTGAGAATTGTGTGTACATAAAATCAGTTGAAGAAGTAATGTGGGGGTTCAGACAATAGGGAAAACTCATCTTCTCCAGCTGACCTCAGCTTTGCTTCCACTCTTGGAGGATGAACACTCATGTAACTCTTCTCTACAGTGAGCAGTCAGGCCTAGTGCCTCTTCCTAACTTGGAGTCCTGGTATTTATTTCAGGAATGTTTTGTATTTCTTTGACTAGGCACTTTTTTTGCCTTAAATGCATTTTCTCAGTTACATACCCAGCTTCTCAATTAACCTGTTCACATGTTTACGTAAAACCCATTTTTACAACCTTTTTTTTAACAGAGATTTTCTTGGCCCCAAATGTAAAACAAAACTGAACAAAACTCACAAAAAATATTAATCTCTTACCAGTATCCCAGCTCCCAGAATGCCGTGGAAAAACCAAACCAAATCAGTTATCTCGCTGAGCTGCAGTACTTGTCCATTGGGGAAGTACAGGAGAATGTTGGAGACAATGGCACATACTGCCAGTGGGAAAAGCGTGATCCCAATGCACTTTGAACACTTCCCCGTGCACATGGCAGCTCTCTGCTCAGGAAAGATACAGGGAGGTTTGGGTTACTGCAGGGCAGGGAGCACCAGATTTCAGCAGTTTTATGCTTTAACGAAAGAATAATTAATTTTGTTGAAAGAAATGCTTCCAGTAAGACATAAGCAGACAATCCTGTTCTATAGACCCTGTTTCCTTCAGAGAATTTATTTAAAATTGAATTATTCACAGCTGGGATGTTTAATTGAATTTATTTAAAATTGTAGGACTAAACCTGTGTTAGTAGGAAATTACCAGAGAATTTCATTTTAGTTGTTAATGGACAATTGTCAGTCCATTGGGAATATCTGTAACAAAGCCATGACTCCACAAAGAGATACCCTGGCTGGCAGTCAGGGCTAAGGCCTGGAGTGGAAGGGGAGGCAGGATCCTGTCCTGGTTTAACCAAGTCTGGTTTTCAGCTGGGGGGTGGTTCCCTGTGGGCACCTGCCAGAGCAAATCAACTGGCTAGTTTGGAAGATTGGCACCCCTTTCACCAATTAGCAGGCGAGTTTTGCAGATTGACACCCGGTTAAACCACTTAGAAGAGCTGGATATGCCCCTATGAAAGCGCATTAAAGGATGGGCTGGAGTGGGGAAGCTCTCTTGGCTTCCTGCCTCTGAAGCAGTAACTGGCTAGGCCTGGGCAGGCCCCGTGCGGCCTAGCACGGCCTGCGCAGCCGGGTTGGCGCTGCTTGGCTGGGGTTTGTGCTGCCTCCAGGCCGTGCCACTGAGACTGGCCCCACACCATGAGAGACCATGCAGCCAGGACTGCTTGGCCAAAGTCGGCGTGGCTGAGACAGCGCCGCATGGCCAGGGCTATCTCAGCATGGCTCGCACATAAACTGCTTTACTCTGAGACCAGCACTGGGACTGGCCCTGCAGCCAGCGCTGGAGACAGCCCCAAGGCCAGAAGTGGCCACGGCCAAAATCAGCCACTGCCGGCCCAGTCCAGGAGCAGTCATGTGGCTGAGACCGCGTGGCCGCAGCTGTCTCGGCATGACTCGCAATGGGCTTGGTTTGCTTAGCTGCTTTTAGCCAGCCATGCTACAAACAGAAAGACAGAAGCAGCAGCAGCAGTTTTGTTTCTTTTTCCCGGTGCTTCACATGAAGAAAAAGCGCATGGGTGGCGTTGGCAGCCAGCATGGCTCGCACGGTGCCAGCGAGAGCCACGTAACCAGCAGCAAAAGACACAGCCATTCCTCAATTGCAAACATAGACGAGATCAACCTTTCAATGCTGCAAGACTATAAAAACTGTTTCAATTGACAAAGCTTAAGAGCAAATGAACCTACAAACACTAATTCTCTTCCAAATCGGGAAAAAAAAAGAGTGAAGGCATGTAGAGAAAACAATAAAGAATTCTGAAGTCAGTAAAGATGTCAAATTCTACATGGGAGAGGATTAAGGAAATGCCTTAGTCTTAGGCTGAAATTCTTTTGTGAGGATATAGTGGAGATATATTTTTTGATTTATCAAACTTCATTTTTTCACTGTAATTCATAAAGTGCATAAAAAAATGAAGCATTCACCCACAGCCCATAAAAAAACCCACTCATGCTAAAGTATATAAATGCTAAAAATCTATAATGCAATAACAAGCTTAAACAGCAAAACATAAGAGAAATGAGAAACTTTGCTACAGCAATAGAAGAAAAACCTCTGTTCCCAGAGACAAAAAAGAACTTTTGTTTTTATGCTAAAACAGCTTATCCTTAAAATAGCACCCCATAAGTTGATGTGGCCCATAGAAGCAACTTTGAGAAAGATGAAAGCATAAGAAAGACCTTCACACTGCAAACAAATTTTCCTTTCCCAGGCAGCTGATTCACTATGACATTAAAGCCATGAGAAAACTGTTTATTGTAAAAAAGTCTCCATAGCATGGCAAGAGAGACTCCTCTCCCTAAGTAAACTAAAGAAAGATTATTTTAGATGTGGTAAACTGACTAAAAGTTCCAAATTTTATCTCTTCATGTTGTCAGGGGAAAACAAAAGAGGGTGTGGGGGGAAGGTAAGTGTTCTGAAGATTTATTTTGATTTTCTTTTAATTTTTCTTTTAATTCTGTTAATAAAGTTTTCTTTATACTTTTTAAAGTTTTTTAGCCTGTTTTGCTCCTCCTCCTCCTCCTACTTCATATCTCACAGCAATAAATGAGTAAATAATTTCTAGTGGCTGCATTAACTTTTAGCCAGCACTAAACCCATTACAGATGCCCTGGCTTTCTGGGACCACTGTCTTGGAAGCTGATTTGAAATCTCTTGCACTGAAGGTGTAGAAGAACAGGAAATGGCTACCAAGGATACCATGTGAATGTTGCACCCTGCCTTGGAACTGGGACAAGCAGGGAAGCCTCCCCAGGGTGTCTACCAGCTGTATTTCATCTATTTTGGTAAAAAATACACCCTCAGCAAGAATTGGAGAAATATTTGTAATTGTTTACTGTGACGTGCTTGTTCTGCTTGTAAGGATTGATAAGACTGGGGATTATGGGTCTGCTTGGCACCCACCCTAAAATATCTGAGAAGCTGCAGTCTTGTCTAATTCTGTGTTTGTTTGCTAAGGGCAGGTAAAAAAACCATCCCATCTCATTTTCAGAGATCTGTCATAACATACAGTAGCTGAGTAGTTCATAGCATTCAGGTTCTTTTTTTAAAATCAACGAATGAACATAAATGAAGCACTGGGTGAGAGAGATCTCTGCAGGTGTCCAGTCTGAGCTCCTGTTGAAAGCAGGACTACCACCAACACTAGGTCACTGTGTCAGCCACAGCTTTGTGTAGCTGAGCTTTAAAAACCACCAAGGATGGAGCCACCACCGCCTCTCTGGGTGACCTGTGGCAGGGTTGACCCAATCTCTTGATGGAAAAGTATTTTCTTGTGTCCAGTCTGAATCTCCAAAGCTGTAATCAGGGCTGTTGCTCCTCATTATATCCTCTCACACCACTCCATCACCTCGGTCACACCCCAGTTTTTCGTAGGCTGTTACTAGACCACTCTTCATCAAAGTCTACAACCTCAGCTCACACTGCACCGATGCTGTGATCTACAGCCAGAGAGAAAAGCCTGATCAGTACAAAAGTGGATCCACCGATATGCCTCCATGTCAGTTTGGAAATTTCAGACTACTGGGTCAGACATTATTGAACCTGCATACCACCTTCAACTTTATGGCACAAATTGATCAAAGTTCTTCATGATGTTTTATCATAGCTTCATTGCAGCCCAAGGCTTTCAAATGCATAAAAATATAAAATGTGCATGAAAATACAAAATATCAAGCTGTGGATTTCTGTCCTCAGAGAGAACTGTCAGTTTATGACAAAAAGGGCTTTGCTGTCCTGTGAGTCAGTTACCAAGTGCAAGAGAAGGAAAAGGACGTGGACACACACCATTTTGTGCACACACAGGTGCATTTGCTTGTTATGTGCAAATAGTTTTTGTAATAACTGAGGCAATCAGCAGTGAAATGTCCCTCAATTTACTCATGTGCATTGGCTAATCCAGAATGTTTTATGACAAAGGTTGGTGTGCAGAAGGCATTAAGCAGTCTAGGAACACAGAAATCAATCAAGGTTGGGTTCCCAAGCAAGAAAAAGGCCCAGATGGAAGGTAGCTTGAAGCCATTTGAAAAAGGCGGAGACAGGCTAAAACAGACTTTGGTGACAGAATGAAGACAGTAAAGAGCTAAGGTTAGATATCAGGTGAGATGTCCTCTGACCTATTCAACTGAGAGGGAAAACAGAAAGACTTTATGGGGTGCCATATATTGCTGTGAAGCAGCTGTGGCTGACAGAGACTTCTTCTGAGTTTGCATTTCTATAGCAAAAAAATTGCATTGTTCTATGCTGCTATGAGTTCGACAAGAGCACTGTGCTTGTATGCATTTGCTTCTGAGCACTTTGCAGCCATGTTGAGCTTTATAATCTGTCTTTTAAAATAAGCTAACTGGCATTAAACTATTCCAGATGGATCATTTTTAACAGAGATACTTCTGTGTTTATGGTCATTACCTGTTTTTAAAATAAGCTAACTGGCATTAAACTATTCCAGATGGGATCATTTTTAACAGAGATACTTTTGTGTTTATGGTCATTATCTGTTTACACAGTGCTCAAAATTTGGCAAAGCATTTTGCAAGCCTCTGGAGAAAGCCCTAGCTCAAAGAGATAAAAATCTAAACTGACAAACAACATGCAAGTAAAAGATGAAGTGGGGAAAGGGAATGGAGGAAAATGGAAAGAATACTGGATATTTCATTTGTCTTTCAAATAACCAGTGTCTTGGGTTTTTTTTTACACTAACTCTTGCCTGCCTGCTTTCCCATCTCATTCCACCTTTAGCTTTTCCATTTGTTTGCCCAACCTCACCTACCTTCCCTCCCCAGAAAGAAGCAAACAAGCACAGGCACAGCCTAGCCTCCTTCTACAAAAGCTAAGCCTTGTAGTTGAGTTATAGTTCTCTTCTGCAACTTTTGTACATTGCTGGAGGGCCCAGTTCTTGTACGGCACAAAGCAACATGACGCTGCTTTGGCGGGAAGAGCTGGGGGTTCCAGTGCTTCCTCTCTGACCCATCTCAATACCACTTCAGACTGCAGGGAGAACTTACCTAAACAACAATCACCAAACCTAGTGAGAGCCTCTACCACCAAAATCAGTGCCGCTTTGCCACCTGTGCACATCAGAGGATCTGCGTGTGTTATTACAGCCTAGGAAAACACTTCGGTTTGCCAGAAGCACTAAAACACTTTATTAATTCACCAAACAAAAGCACATTCTACAGCTTCGTTAAGCAAGGTGGCTAGAGCAAGCTTCTAATTTTTAGTGATGTTTTTAGAAAGTTTTGCTTTTTAATGCTACAGTAAGCATGTAAATACTTTTGCTTACCTTCTAAGCAGGGCTAAGATGGCCTCCAGAGTTCCCCACAGTCAGCTTCAGGCTTTCCAGCTCCTCTCTCCTGGAGTGTGGCAGTCTGAGCGAGGCACAGCAATGTTTTTGGGTGACGGCCTCTATTAAACAAATAGCTGTTTCTCTCTGAGAATGAGGAAATACCCCAAGTTATCCCTGGTTGGCCAGTGAGAGGTTGGCGTGTCACCCACGGTTATTGATTATTTTAAGGCAGTGTTCCAATGGTCAATGCCTCAGCCCCCGGGACACATGGATCAGAGCAGTGGAGACCTTTTTACAGCTGTAACCATTTCAACTGTGTGGAGTTTGACAGAAGAGGAAAGGCAGGAGATGGCAGAGGAACAATGAGTACCTGGCAGAAAATGTGACTGGAGCATGATGTGGTGGCATAGCAAAGTCTGGCCATTGGTGTGGCATCACTTTCTGCACACCAGGCTGTGGCTGCTAAAATTCGGTACTGTCTGTGCTCCAAAGCATGCTCCTGGGAGAGTTAGGTGAGGAGAATGGGGATGGGAAGGGAAGAAGACTCACAGTAAGACCAGGAGAAAAAGGAGAAAGAGGGACAGACAAGGAGGAGAGAGTGGGAATAGAGAAGGGAAACTGAAAATTTGCTCTGGCAGTGGAGAAAATAAAGGTAGAAGAGACACAAGGGATGGGCCAAGAAATGTAAAACACAGTGAAGAGTAATAAGACATTAAAACTGAACTGGGAGAAGACTCATACTGAGGAATAAGAGTGTTTCTTTTGTAGAAAACATGATGGTAATAATAACTGTTAAAATATGTCCAAACTTTCAAACACAGAAATATATATGTTACTTTGTAGGTCAGATTTGGCCCCAGTTGTGCTAGGAATATACCCAGATCCCTTCCTTCAACAGAAACCATCCCCTCTCTGACAAGCATCTGCATCCTCTCCTCTCACCTTCATCCTCTAAACTCATTGGGAAAGATTGGTGGTGAAGGGTGGAATTCATCTCATGTGACTTTGGGCATAGTTGTCAACCTAGGCTGTACTTGTTTCTCATGAGAGAAACAGACACTTCTAAGGAAAAGAATAATAAGATCTATTTTAGGAATTACTGTAGGATTACAGTAAATCATTAATGGTAAAAGAATCTCACCTTTTGTTCAGATCTAAATGTCAGAATCTGTTGTCAAATGAATCACATCCATGAGGAGTACCAGCATGGCAGAGTGACTACAAAAGCACCAGGAATTCAGTCCCTGGTTGCATAATTAATATAAATAGTAATATCAAATAATCACTGACTCACAGCCAGAAGAAAAGAAGCATCTTTAGTGATCTCAGAGGGATCTCAGGCAAAGAACCTTCATTAAAATGCAAATGGTAACAAGGGGAAAAACTGAACTAACTCTCTGAATCCAATACCCCAAACTTTAACTGGCATCTGCAATAGCCTTTAACCGTGTCTTTTGTGGCAGTGCTTCCACCCAAGAGAAAGCAAGAAAGTGTCATACAATCTTGCAACAGGATGAAGGCATGAGGTCTAGTGACGTTTAAAGCAGTTAAAGAATTACTTGAAGACCACCAGCAATTTGCACTGACACCTGGAACAACTGGAGGGACCTGCCAGCTTATGTAGAGAGTTAAGAAACAAATGAAGGAACTTCATAATGATACTTAAGATGAACCCTGCCCCTAAATCTCATATCCTGGTTGCTTGGAGTTTTTATAGACTTTAAATCCATAATATTTCTGAGGCACCACCTTTCCCATCTTCCCCTACCCAGCACCCTAAGCTGGGCTCAGCATCCTTCATTTTGATTCTGCTTTTCTCTGGTTTTGCCTGGCTCGTCCTCCTTCAGGATGATGTGCAAACCACACCTCTGTAGTTTCTTAGCTATACTGTGTCCCCAGCATTACACATTCTTTTACTGACCTGTTTCATTTTCTTCTCTGCAGTTTCTAAAGTTTGTCTATCAACAATGTAGATTTTAAACTCTTTGGGGCAAGTTCAGTGTTTTCATCTGCATTTATATAACACGTGCTCAGGGGCTTAACAAAAGATTAGCGCTTCTAGTTACTACAGAAAATGAAAATAATAGTAAGCTCTATAATATCTTTAGATGTGCTCATTATTAAGTAGGATCTGCATTCAGCCTTGATGAGTTCTGTGCTAAGTACTGCTCATTGTGAGGCACAGGAAGAATGCCAAAAAGAAGAACATAATAAAAATCTATATTAACACCAGGCATCCTGACTCCTACCTGTTTTTCTAAAGCAACAGACTCACCAGAAAGAAATGAAAGCAAGCAAGCTGTAAAACACTTAGAAACACAGAGCTTTGTCTGTGAAGTGTTTAGTGGCTAAGCTGAGTGTATATGATTGTGTACATCTATTTTTCCCCCTGCAATATTGACTTTTAAGGCAGTGAAAACATTTTGTGTTCCACTGATCAATGCCCGCTGATTATATTGATTTACTGTGCTGCAGCTCTGATCCTCCTTTTATTTCTATCCTTTTAGCTGTAAATTCTTTATTAATTTTCCAGTTACATGTAGTAGCATGGGAACTGAGAGCGGAACTGTAAATACGTGAAAAATCTTGTTCATCATGATAGGAATGAAAACAGTTCCAGCCCCACTATTTCCCTGAGTGGTGCAATGTGAGAAACTGGAGAATTACGGCCATGTGCAGGTTTTTGAAGGGCATATCTAACTGCCTACTTACTTTGTTAATTGATCTGCCCCATTTGGAGCGTGGCTGCTGCGCACTAAGGAAAAATGGCCTATTTGCTGTTGGTATGGTGTGGAAAAAGGAGCAAGGAGCTCCGTTCCCATCTATTCTTGTACAAAACTTGAGTGATTGCTCTGAAATCACAGCTTTTTTCTGAGTACACAGTGGCACTCCACTAAATTTAATTTATTCCATTTTGACACAAATTATTTCTTTCTGCTATTTCCTATGACACTTTGCTGTTAAGGTTCCCTTCAACTGAGTGAAAGGGAGGTTGATTGCCCTGAGATCAGACTGCTGTTAGGAAATCTAACTGTTAAGAAGCTTTTTCTGAGATGAGCTGGCTCTGAGAAGGTCCACGTGCTTGGGCACTGCAGGTAACATGGCTTGGAGAGCCAGCTGCCCCTGCTTCTCTTGCAGCAGGTGCCCAGCTGAACCTGCCTGCCTGTATCCAGGAGCATGCAGATGCTCTGTTAAGGTAGAAAGAGGAAGATGGCAATGGCACTACCAGCATTATTCAGGTTTTCCTTTATCCAGAGTATCCAAGACCTGCACGACCCAGGCCATGAAGAGCTGATTACACAGCAAGAGTGGAAGATGAGAAGCAGCTCAGTAAAAAAGGCTCATGACTTGCATCAGATCAGAGACAGCCAGAAAACAACCACTTTTAATGGCTGAGTGGTGCAAGTTAAGGTTTTTATATTAAGGATCCCTATGAGTTTGAAGAGGGAGAATGGAAGTTATTCTGGGCAAATTTTGAAATAGGCTCTCTGTACTCTTGGGGAGTGTATTAGCTGCATTGCACCATCATGCACTGGTGGTCCCAACACACAGCATATGCTGGATGTGCACTTCCCAGCAACAATGGTCACATGGATGGATCTTTCCTTCTCTTCTGTTTTACCTTTCATTTCCCTCCTGCTTGTTTATTTTCTCTTGTCTCTCCTTTTATGTATAATCCTCTTTCCAACATACTTATACTCTCTCTGCTCCCTGAGATGACATTCTGCTAAGCACACTTTTCCCCCTGCAATGGCAGCACTCACATCATTGCCTCTGAGGGCACTTGCACCACTACCAAGAGACAGTGTTTTTGGATAAGCCCCGTCATTATCAGTTACTCTGTGACCCCAGGGTGGCACAGCCAACTGTCTGCAAAAGCACCTTCCGGGGTGAGGAGAATGGTCCTGAGACAACACCCAGTGAGCTCTGCCCATCCAACAAAGCATTATCCATTGCTTGCTTGTGTGTACGTATGTTCATCTGATTTATAGCAAAGCTTGTTTTATTTAATTATCTGAGTGGTTTGCCCAGGGACAGCACTGTACCAACCCCAATGTTTTCTAAAATAGCAATGGACTATGACCTGTGGCCAAGGGTTGTTTGTACTCCCAACACAGAACAACACTGTCACTATCCAATATTAAAATAATTAGAGGTTTGTGCTTTCATTTTGCTGGTTTCATGCAACACTTCTTTCTGGTTTTGGCTGAAAGGCATTTCTCATCCATATGTTTTGACACTGGGGTTTGCCCAAGAATGTGCTTAGGGAGAGGGTGAATTAGGAGCTAAAAGTAGTACTGACTGGAAAATGCCCCTATTTACCTGAGCAAACAGGAGAAATCTTATTGGTGATCCTTCTTTCTTCCTGTCTTGTCCTGAACTGCTCCAGGTTTCTTAGGCAGTCTTCAGTAATGAGGAACAAATATTGGGAATATGCTGAAGAAGTATATGGCTTGTCAAAAAATGCTCATTGTATTTTTTGTGGATGTTTGACACTGTGAGGGGGGAAGGTTTCTGTAGTGCAGAGTGCTGGTTTTGGCCAGACTAAGAGATGTAGTTTATCCAGGTAACTTGAAAGAGATTACAAATTTCCATGGGAGTCTGAGGCACCTAGGGCAGTAACTCCCACCAGAATGAAAGAGGAGTGCAACACCCAGGAGGTCAGAAGTGACTATTAAGTATTTTGTTATTGCAAGGGGCACTGTCCACTCGTTCACCATCTCCATCTGGTTTTATGCCAAAAGGAAAATCAATACTAGCTCTGTATGCGTAGTTGTGATGTTTTGAACATGCACATGAGGCCAGGTTTATAGCCAAAATTACTTCTTGCTAGTAGAAGGCTTACTACTTAATTTGCCTGTTTCAGACAAATGAAAATATGTGGAAAAATTGGATAAGCCTTTGGAAATACAGCTATTTTTCAGATCCTGATGTTTGCTTCTTTCCAGCTGGGGCTGGCTGGTTGAAGAAAAGACAGTCCATCCTTTTGCTGACTCCAAAGCTGTTAGTTGTTTGCATCCATCGTGGGACAGGATAGTATTTAAAATCTCCACATACATAGCAGAAGGGCCTGAGGCAATTAAATGAATATTTCCCTAAGTGGGAAGTGCTTTCGGGCATTTCTTAG